GGGAATATTTTTGCTAGCCTTCAGACTCCCATCCAATTTCACATATTTCCACATAATATTGCTGTGTTGTTGAATGCAAGTGAACATGCAATAACCCACCACCAATACAAGTGTGACACCACCTCCTAGTATAGCTGGCTCCCTCTATACTGATTGTTCAATCATCACATTCAGATAAGGCAAGATAGTAAAATGCACCAAAAGTGGGGAAGAAGGGCAAGAAGAGGCAAATATCTATTAGAAATATATTTTCAGTGTTGAAAAATGTTAATTTTCAATATGATACACAACATCCACTTATACATTAACTACAATCCCACTTTGAAGTGGTGGAGGGACTGGTGCAAAACTTACCTCGATGAGCCCCCTCAGGAAATGCAACACCCTATACCATGGAACAGCATAAGGTCACACCCATGGGAAACCATACCTCATCTGTACTAGGGTACACTCTTCACCCAGAAAGGAGGGGAAGGGAAGTGTCACGACAATGGGCAAAATACAGAAGCACAGAAGAGAACATGCATCAGGTTTACAGAAGTGTTATATGTGTAGTGTGGCTAGGGTGTATCAGACCATACATGGTGGGTTAACTCCAGTCCAAGACCAGGTGGTGCCAGGAATTCAGCTTCCAAGCTGTGGTTGGAAGAAGGTCCCTACCATATTCACCTCAAGCTCAGTGAGGCAGAACTGCAACAGAGTGAGGACTTATGTTGGCTGGTCCTGTGAAAGTCCAACAACAAACCACCCAGGAACCCAACATCCAGGCAGCAGTAGGATGAGAGTCAGCAAGAGGAGTTAACCATACTACATGGACAGAATACCACCACCCTACTCTCTACTGAGTGAAACTGGTCACACTCAGGAAGCAGCCTCCATGGTTCACTGCCCCAGGGCTAGGAACTGGTAAATTGTAAGGACTCCCATACTCCACTAGAAGGAAAAAGGAAAGTGAAAATGAGTTAGGGAGCTCAGAGGAGAAATTAATAGATGACAGTGCAATGGGGTGTCCACAAAAACCCTATTTTTAACACTTTGACTATCAATTCACTCTTTAAACTCCTTTCTGCGCATGTCACTAAAGGGTTAACGAGTTATATGCAAAATTAAATTTAATTAAACCTCTTTACTATCAATGTATTTTAATGAACGTTATCATTTTCCTGATCTGAAAATGTATTTCCAAATATACTTACCTCTGCTGACACTTATAGCTATTTCTCGATCTCCATCTTTGCCATCTAACATTGTGTTCACTTGCTCCAGTCGTTTATATCCCACTCGACTGCCCTCGGCAATATCTAATTTGCAAAACTTTACACCGGCCCTCACACGCCTTCTATGCAGGTACTGTGTATAAGCACTGTATGCAGACAATAAAATCACTTTTTTGCAAGTTACCTCATTCTGGTCACTAACACTGGCTCTTGGTGGGTGGGAAGGGAGGGAGAGTGTAACCGGAAGTAAATATGTTTGGAAATACATTTTCAGATTAGGAAAATGATAACTTCCAAAACATACATACCTATGCTGACACTTATAGCTAGAATCCCACATTGAGAAGGTGAAAGGGTCAGTGAGGGTATAGTTTATACAGAAAGTATCTGCATAGAAGAAAGGTGTACCACAAGAAGTAGTACCCAAGTGGGGAAAACCACACTACATCAAAAACGGGTATACTCTTCACCTAGAACTATGGAAAAGTGAAAAGGGTGGAACAGTACACAAGTATGATGGGCTAGCCTCAACCACACAACCAAGGTTCCATGACTTGGGGCTGGATTTAAGGGGTCATGGTACCCATATCCTATGTTGGTGGCCAGGGCAGTTGGACTGCAAATATATACATATCTTTGTGTTAGGATCCCCACCTGCAGCCACAGGATGATGAGTTTTGAACTACCAGATTTACACAAGAAAGAAAGCAACACCAAAGTGGATAATCCCTCTGAACAACCAGAAGTCCAAAAGGCAACGTCCCAGGCTCGGATTGACAGGATCACATATGCCATATCCCACCCAAGGTCCAGAACTCATTCAGTCTGGATTTACGAAAAGTCATCTTCACTCCCCAACCAAGTGGGCAAGGAGAATTCCACTTACCCATGAAATTATGGAGAGTACACGGAACAGATGAGACCACATCACATTTGGATTTATGAGGACATAGTGGACCCCTGTATGAACAACCTAAGACCTGACAGTGTCCCTAAGAGAGTCCAAGCACACCCACATTGGATAGCAAAGCATCAAATTTGGACCAGTTTTACAAGTAGGCTCCCTGTAGGTAGGCCCTGCTAATACTGACATCAGGTAAAAACTTCCAGGAACCCGAGTAGAAGGGTCCCCAACTTCACCCTCTTGGTGAAAACTCAACACTCTGAAGGAAAATCCTCTGTCCACCACCCCAGCGACTGGGAACTGAGTATGGTAAGGACTCCCTAGCTCCACTAGTAGAATTGGGGGGGGGGGGACATGTGCACTGTGGGGAGTCCTGAGGAACAGGTCTCCGGAGACAGTACAACAAATGAATCACATTCCCTAAGTTTTAAAAGCAAACTGATCTGAACTGATTCAGCTTGTAGATCAGCATGTACTGGCAAAATCCCCTTTAGCTTTACTCATGACAGTCCATGAATAGTGGTCCATTGGATTTTTATTGTGAGATATACTTTCATCTTGCATTCATATAGTCTTATGGAACATCTCATCTCGACATAGCCTGTTGCAACCACAAATTGATATAAAGGTTGCTACTATGGAATTGAAAAATACAAAAACACCTGACAGAGCAACACTTACCACCGAGTGGGATCCAAAAAAAATAAAGAGGGGCCCTAGAAGAAAAAGAAAAAACTGCAAATCAGGTAAGAAAGTTACTCACCTCCTTGTTAAAATCTAGCAGAGGTAGTCAACAAAGCCACATGAAATCCTATGGAAGAGGAAACTGCCAGATCATGAAGGTAATGAAATATGAGTGTCAAAAGAAGTCTACATACCGGCCCGCAAAATGTCCTCCAGATAACAGTTCAGACAAGCAGCCAATGACATTGATAGATGCTGCATCTGGTGAGAAGTGACGTGGAGAATATTGCAATCATTAAAAGATAAGCCCAAATAGGCTATATGAATCAACTTCCGAAGC